ATTTATTTTTCCCTTTAGTTTCCGGGGGTTCCTTTTTAAAAATTTTTCCCCCCATCGTTTTTATTTCCTTGGGACTTCCCATACCCCCTCCCATTTCCCTTTGGTTCCGGGGAAATCCTCCCTATATCCATCCCTCCCATTCTTACTCACGAATCTCTTCACTGCCCCTTGAACCATGCCCTGATTTGAAATTTGGTCCAAATACTTTTTATAAAGGGCCTTGTTTTAAAAGGGCTTTTCCACCCCCCATGCCGGGGAAAAACCCACCCCAACTCCCGCCATCCCCCCCTCAAAGGTGCTGTTCCCTCATTATTCCCTAAAAATGGGGCCCTGGGGAATCAAACTACCCCTTTAGGGTCGGGAATTTTCTAACTTTCCCGGGCTGGGGTAAAATATCCCCATGGGGGCTGGGATCCTAATCCTTAGGGTCCTGGGGTCCCCCCCTTTAATCAAACTTAATGTGCTTGGGGTCAACTTTGGGTCAGGACTGGGTTTTAAACAAGGGTCGTGGGATCCCCCACCCCGAGCTGGGAAAACTAATCAAACAAATCAAACTAGGGCCCTTTGGGGTCCCCTAATTCATTCCATGGGTCCTTGGGGTCGGGGGGATTTATTAACAAGTATTACCTGTTAATCTTTCTGTTGGATGCCCAAAGAAAATAAAATTTAAAAAATATTTATTTCTTCCCCTCCCCCCTCTTCCCTTCCGAAATTCACAACAAACAAGCCAAGAGCAAAACAACCCAACACTAAAAACCAACAACACACCCCAAAAAAAAAATTTGGTCAACGAAATTCAAAATGGAAAAGGTGGTAGGCTAGGTCAACATAAATGTAGGCTAGGGTCAAATTTTTGGGGGAAAAAAAAAAAACCCAAATTTAGGCTAGGTCAGGCAATCATAATGAGGTGGCTAGGGTCTAACAATGTTAGGCTAGTGTCTAGTGTCTATATCCTGAATGTGGGCCTAGTTGTCTTATTGTCTATATATGAAGTGGGCTAGTTGTCTAGTTGTCTATATCATGAATGTAGGCTAGTTGTCTAGTTGTCTATATCATGAATGTGGGCTAGTTGTCTAGTTGTCTATATCATGAATGTAGGCTAGTTGTCTAGTTGTCTATATCATGAATGTGGGCTAGTTGTCTAGTTGTCTATATCAATGAAATGTTGGGCTAGTTGGCTAGTTTGCTATATCATGAATGTGGGCTTAGTTGGTCTATTGTCCTATATCATGAAATGTAGGGCCGTTGTCTAGTTGTCTATATCATGAATGTAGGCTAGGTGTCCATAATTTTCTATGTCACGAATGTATTTTTCCACTGTGCTGTGATGTTTCACAAAAGTTCTGAACCTTTCTATTCTCATCGTTTCTACAGATTGTAAATTAAAGGCAACATTTTTTGCTAAGCGTATTATTATATTATTGATCGATTGACTATGACTTTTCAAATCACCCAGAAGTGCTATTTGCAGAGTCAATTTTCAGCCATTCCTGAACCTGCGACCAAATACAAGCCACATATGGGCAGTACCAAAACAAGTGATCTAATGATTCTGTCTCTTCGGAGCAAAATATGCAGAGCTGGGATGGTTGTATCCCCCATATAAATAACACTCTACTGGTTGCAAGAATTGCGTATAATCGTTAAAATTTAAAACCTCTTTGAATCCGGCGTTGTTTTGTGTATCAGTTCATAAACCATGTACCATGGAATGTGCCATGGAATGTGCCATGGAATCGGTACATCGAAAATCTCCTTACACCTATTTTGCAACCTGTATGGCACAGCTGTCAATCTTCTGGTCCTTAAAATAAAAACAATGTTTTTTTTGTCTTTAATGCAGGGCCGACAGACAAGTAGCCATTGATTCTTAAAGAATACTTAAGGCCTAATGAGCTTAGTTCAACTGTTGTCCACCATCAGATTCCAAAATGTAGTTGTAAACCAGTGGTCACCAACCTTTTTCTGAGTCAAAATGAAGGCCGAGATCTACCGCTCATATTTATTTTAAACATGACTTAAAAAATGTAAGCCTATGCAACATTAACCAATTAAAACCAGTTCTGTAGCGGTGAGGTTTGTGCAGTAAGCTATAGGCCCCATACATTATCACTGCATATTGGCTATGCTTGAGTTAGCCTGCCAATGATGTTCTTCTCAGACCATTTTACAATTCTATTTCAAAACTTGAGGTATATGATCCACTGGTAATAGATTGTTGTTTTACTTCTGAGGCAGCTGAGTGAGCATAATAATTAGAAATGTTTTAATGGCCTACATCTGATGCCTCAATAACACCTACAGGGTCATTGTGCAAAAGGATGTGCTGCATCATATCTGGATATGTGTGTAACAAAAGTTCAACACTCACCTTCTGCTACCATTTCTGTCAAGCCGTCTATGCATACAATTTGATGCATTCGTTCAGTAAATCCAACTTATGCACTACACAGAATGCACTGCAACTGCCTCTGCAACGGAATGCTGTAAGGCAAACGCAGCGTTTCATTGGAAATGAATGTACTTCTGGTGTAACAAAACGCAACGACACTGTTGGTGTGATCGAGGCGTGATCATGCCCGATGTCCACCAGATGCATATAGGTTTTGTTTTGGCGGATGTCAAGCCCGCATTTTCCGTACATGACGCACATGTGCTTCGCTTTTCAACTAGCTAAAAGCTGCTAGTTACAGTATGTGTGGTTACTTCTGTTTGTACCACCACACGGTAACGCAACACACGAGTTGAAAATATGGACAGGCACGCAGTACATAGAACGCACCACAGCCTACTGCGGACTGCTCCAATGACAATGAATGACTGCCGCCGGATCGCTAAGAATTTGATGCATTTGGTGGACATGAGGCGTTAGGGGAGAGAGCAGCGTCCGTCCCTCCACTCTCCCTCCCTCCGCTCTCCCTCCCTCCGCTCTCCCTCCCTCCGCTCTCCCTCCCTTCGCTCTCCCTCCCTCCGCTCTCCCTCCCTCCGCTGAGAAAAGGGGACACATTCTTCCAGCTGATGGCGAAACTCAAGTCACACTGCATTATTTCATGCACCAATTAATGTTGTTACTCCTATGACCAGAGAAAGTGAAATATTCCTCGATATTAAAAAAAGACACAAGCCGCTAATAACAACACAAGCTTATCAGAATATGTTGCTGTAGTCGTTCATAGCAGCTGCAGTGCTGGTTGTAGGGTGAGTGGAAGTAGGGAGAATGCAGATGTTATGGCTTATAAAGGTGTTGAACAAAGTGTTGACAGTGCTGAATATCAACTTAAACAGGAACCTACTCATAATAACAGCAGCTATTTGCTGTAGTTGTTGAGTCTCTCTCTAGTCATGGTTTTAAAAGTTTTGAAATCTCACAGTATCAACTTTACTGTGCGTTCGAGGCTTATTTTTACAGTCTATGGCTAGAGAAAGCTGTGCAGACACTTGATCTGAGCTCTCTGATTGGCCAGCGGTAGGTCTATAGGTGCACTTGGTTTGCTCTCTGGGTCTTCCGGGTAGGCGGAGTTCTACCTTCAGACACATGAAATGGTTCAAAATGGAAACACTTTGCCTTCCCGGTGCTAATTCCTAATTCTATGGTTATAACTATCTCATGGATGGTAAATCCTTGCATCCATAGCTTTGTAAAGTGGTTACATTGCTCCAGCCACATCAGTTTTTCAAATCCCAGATTGCCCCTTTAAGCATGTGGAACAGCCAGATGTTTTTACTAGGGGATAAAGAATCCCCTTTACACTACACAATAGCCATGATAGCACCTAGTTTGGACACACATGCACACACACACATACACATACAAACAGGCAAACATAAACACACACACACATACACACACGCACGCGCACACACACATGCACACACACACGCACACACGCACACACACACACACACACGTACACACACACACACACACACACACACACACACACACACACACACACACACACACACACACACAGGTAAAGGGAAATATCCAGGCTATGAGATTATAAGAGTGGATATCTAATAGCAGACAAACAAGTAGCTGGTGTTTTATGGAAACTCAGAAACTCCCAGCAGCCTTTGTTGTGTTGAAAGGCTTTCACCGGCTCTGCAAGAACACACACACTCTCACAAAGGACACACACACACCCTCATTCATGTAACAATGGTGCACTGATTGCGGGTGAAGAAATATCCACTGACTCTTTTGTCAGGGTCATTACGCCTATTCATCATCATCATCATCATCATCGTCATCATTATCATGCTGAATATACAGAACAGGGCCTGTAGAATGGAGTTACAGATGTATGTGTGGGGAAAAGATGACTTAATTCATAGACAGAATGTATAGAGGATTTAGTTCATATAAGAACTGCAACCAGAAAAGGCCCAGTCTACTGCAGGCAGTGAGTTGTGTAGGCTAGTTGGTACAGTAGACCCCTCTGGGTGATCACGACTCTGCTTCAGTCTGACGCACTCACACACACACACACACACACACACACACACACACACACACACACACACACACACACACACACACACACACACACACTCACACACACACACACACACACACACACACACACACACTTTCACTCTCTATCTTTCTCCGCCATTCTCTCTCTCTCACTCTCTCTCACTCTTTCTCTCGCTCTCCATGTCTGTCTGTAGGGTTCATGAAAGGTGTTATGCAATAAAGTCAATGAAGTCAAGTCCCTGACTCAATGTCCTCTTGCTCCCACTGGAGGCACACAATATTAAACTATCAAAAATGTTTTTTATTTATTTCAAAAGGTATATTTCACATTAGATTGAGACACACAATTGCACAACTTCTGCACATTTAGTAGGCTATTAATAGTGTTCAAGTCCCTGGTGCAGATACTATTCACAGTCATATCTACATTTAGCAGAATGCATTTGTGGAAATCAAACATTATTATTTTTCCTCGCTCCAGATACCGTTATAAACCAGTCCTGTCTGTCTTTGGCTTCCTTCACTGAATCTGACACTTCTCCAGCGGCTTGCCCGGCTTCCGTGCGGAGTTGGGGCCGAGGACTTGCCGGAGATCAGTGCTGAAACTCGGCCGTCGAGCCAGCGGATACAGCGCCCCACACGGAGCCTCACCACTGGGCGCCGGGCTCCCTCTCCCGGCCACTCTGCCCTCCTTCAGCGCCTGGTACGACCGAATCGAGACTTTACGGTGCTGCGACGGACCAGTTTCAGTTGGCAACCCGCCCCGTTTAGCCAGAGCCTCGAATACCTCCTCTAGATTAGTGCGGTCTTTGGCAGAGGTCTCGAAGTAGGCGCAGTCCTCACCGAGTGCTCGGAGCACCTCTGCCCGGGAAAGTTTTCTCTCCGCTGGGGACAGGTCCACCTTGTTAGCGCAGACCACCGTGGGGACCCGTGCGCTCTGGCCCGGCCCGGTGGGCTTCAGGAGCTTGGTCTTGGCCGTGAGGATCTCAGCGCGCAGGGCACACACCTCCTCGAAAGAGCTCCGGTCGTCCAGGGTGAAGACCAGAAGGAATATGTCACCTACAGAACACAGGAGACAGAAATATTATAGCCTCTTATAGCCTGCATTTTTATTATAGCCTACATTTTCATATTCTCATTAGCAATTTGAACTGAAGTTCCTTCTGGGATAAATATTGTATTATGTTATTTTTGATTATATTCTATATGCTATTCTATCCATAACTTATACGTCCATATACACATATTTATAATCTCTCTCATCATTTATAAAGCAAGCATGTCCACTTTTACGCACACCACATCTAAGCGAAGAGAGAGGCTGATTCAAATGCATACATTTACATCTTTAACACCGCAATAAAAAAAAACAATTGAGGCACCTCCAGCACGCTCCAACATATAGACCATGATAAGGACTCCCGTTATAGCCTAAATTCCCGTTACTCACCCGTTAGTATGGAGAGCCTGCGTTTCGCCGGGAAGCTCCTCTCTCCTGAGGCGTCCAGCACGTCGATCTGATACGTCTCCCCGCGGATGTGGAACATTTTCCGGAGGAAATCCTCAGAGGTCGGTTGGTACTCCTCCGCGAAGCCGTCCCAGAGGTACCGCCGCAGGATTGAAGTCTTGCCCACCCGGGGCGCACCCAGAACCACGATGCGCCTGCAGTTCTGCGGCTTGGTGGAGCTCAGCGGGTCCTGCCGAGAGTCCTGGCCGAACCTCGGGTCGTCCTCGCCGAGCTGACGGAGCCGGATTTGACCCTGGAGAACCAGAGCAGAGAGCTGGTCCAGTGGGGACCTCTTGCAGGAGTGGCCGTCGGATGGAGGTGGAAGCCAGCTAGCTGTGCTTGGGGACCGCACCACCCTCCCCTTCTTTTCCTGGTGCTTCCACTGAGACGTGGCCATTTTGAGGTGCTGGGTCGCGTTTTTGTATGCCAGCAGGACCTTGGAGGAGCCGAGGCACAGGGCTCTGGTCCCGGGGAATTGAGAAGGTTCAGCCCGCTGATGGGCGACGGGCATGGTGGTTGTGGTGGTCGGTGAGCTAGTGGAGGGGTTACCTTTCACCTCCATAATGTTGTCTCTCTTGAGTTTCATGTGAAATGTAGCCTATAATAGCATGTAAGGCAGTGTGGATGTCTGGATGGATCCCGTAATGTTACAACCTCATGCGGTCCTCGTGACACCTGTGGGTTTGCGCACCGTCTAGTCTGGGTTGTACAGAAACAGATGTCGTTTGGTGGTGTTTTTATACGGATGCATGCGCCTGGCTCGTTCGCGTCACACAGCAGGGGTTATCTGCTCGTCTTTCCCAACAGCTAGTTGCCAGAGCTGCTGATTGACAGAAGCGGAGAGATTGTTATGTTCTCCGTGAGAACACTATGTTTTCGCTAATTCTGGAACAATGGAAGCCGCCAGTTCTATTGCAAAGTGCTCGGCCAAGACAAGCACCCTGGGGGGTTTTGCGCACGTTGTGGTGTTTGGATAAATTAAGGCTATGGGAGATTTTGATGATCTGGTGTTTCTAATTCAACATCAACATACAAAGAAGGCATACATATTTGTTTACAAACTGCTGGTACACGGTAACACATCTGGCCCATAGCCTAAAATATACCAAATCTTTTTTTTGTATGAGCAAAAATAAACCTAGGCCTACTCATTATTGGCCAGATCTATGTCATTTTCTTTCCTTTTCATTTAAATATTGTGATGAAATAGTCCAACAATAAAGGCCTAATCTATTGAGGAACAAAACATGAGAGCACCATCAACATGTGTATATATATATATATATATATATATACAGTACCAGTCCAAAGTTTTGGCACACCTACTCATTCCAGGGTTTTTCTTTATTTTTAATATTTTCTACATTGTAGAATAATAGTAAAGACATCAAAACTCTGAAATAACACATATGAAATCATGCAGAAACCAAAAAAAGTGTTAAACAATTCAAAATATAGTTTATATTTGAGATTCTTCAAATAGCCACCCTTGGCCTTGATGACAGCTTTGCACACTCTTGGCATTCTCTTAACCAGCTTCACCTGGAATGCTTTTCCAACAGTCTTGAAGGAGTTCCCACATATGCTGAGCACTTGTTGGCTGCTTTTCCTTCACTCTGCGGTCCGACTCATCCCACACCATTGGGTTGAGGTCGGGGGATTGTGGAGGCCAGGTCATCTGATGCAGCACTCCATCACTCTCCTTCTTGGTAAAATAGCCCTTACACAGCCTGGAGGTGTGTTGGGTCATTGTCCTGTTGAAAAACAAATGATAGTCCCACAAAGCCCAAACTAGATGGGATGGCGTATCGCTGCAGAATGCTGTGGTAGCCATGCTGGTTAAGTGTGCCTTGAATTCTAAATAAATCACAGACAGTGTCACCAGAAAAGCACCCCCACACCATCACACCTCCTTCTCCATGCTTTACGGTGGGAACTACACCGTGTCTCACAAAGACATGGCGGTTGGAACCAAAAATAATATGGACTTGGTCTTTTACCAAATAGGACTATCTTTTGTATACCCCCCTATCTTGTCACAACACAACTGATTGGCTCAAACGCATTAAGAAGGAAATAAATTCCACAAATTAACTTTTAAGAAGACACACCTGTTAATTGAAATTCATTCCAGGTGACTACCTCATGAAGCTGGTTGAGAGAATGCCAAGAGTGTGCAAAACTGTCATCAAGGCAAAGAATCTCAAATATAAAATATATATTGATATGTTTAACACTTTTTTTGGTTACTACATGATTCCATATATATTCTACAATGTAGAAAATAGTAAAAATAAAGAAAAACCCTTGAATGAGTAGGTGTGTCCAAACTTTTGACTGGTACTGTATATATATACACTGCTCAAAGAAATACAGGGAACACTTAAACAACACAATGTAACTCCAAGTCAATCACACTTCTGTGAAATCAAACTGTCCACTTAGGAAGCAATACTGATTGACAATACATGTCACATGCTGTTGTGCAAATGGAATAGACAACAGGTGGAAATTATAGACAATTAGCAAGACACCCCCAATAAAGGACTGGTTTTGCAGGTGGTGACCACAGACCACTTCTCAGTTCCTATGCTTCCTGGCTGATGTTTTGGTCACTTTTCAATGCTGGCAGCGCTTTCACTCTAGTGGTAGCATGAGATGGAGTCTACAACCCACACAAGTGGCTCAGGTAGTGCAGCTCATCCAGGATGGCACATCAATGCGAGCTGTGGCAAGAAGGTTTGCTGTGTCTGTCAGCGTAGTGTCCAGAGCATGGAGGCGCTACCAGGAGACAGGCCAGTACATCAGGAGACATGGAGGAGGCCGTAGGAGGGCAACAACCCAGCAGCGGGACTGCTACCTCCGCCTTTGTGCAAGGAGGAGCAGGAGGAGCACTGCCAGAGCCCTGCAAAATGACCTCCAGCAGGCCACAAATGTGCATGTGTCTGCTCAAACGGTCAGAAACAGACTCCATGAGGGTGGTATGAGGGCCCGACGTCCACAGGTGGGGGTTGTGCTTACAGCACAACACCGTGCAGGACGTTTGGCATTTGCCAGAGAACACCAAGATTGGCATATTCGCCACTGGCGCCCTGTGCTCTTCACAGATGAAAGCAGGTTCACACTGAGCACATGTGACAGACGTGACAGAGTCTGGAGACGCCGTGGAGAACGTTCTGCTGCCTGCAACATCCTCCAGCATGACCGGTTTGGCAGTGGGTCAGTCCTGGTGTGGGGTGGCATTTCTTTGGGAGGCCGCACAGCCCTCCATGTGCTCGCCAGAGGTAGCCTGACTGCCATTTAGGTACCGAGATGAGATCCTCAGACCCCTTGTGAGACCATATGCTGGTGCGGTTGCCCTGGGTTCCTCCTAATGCAAGACAATGCTAGACCTCATGTGGCTGGAGTGTGTCAGCAGTTCCTGAAAGAGGAAGGCATACTATGGACTGCCCTCCGTTCCCGGCTTGTCCAATTGGGGCCACTGGGACTCTGGTCCTCCATCCTCCTGCCACGCGACCGACCGACTGTCCAGGAGTGCCAGAGCAGTACGTCCTGGGGGAGCCCTCAGAGATCCGCCTCATCAGGGAGCCAGCTAGTTGTGTGGAGGTCTACCACTTGCCTCTACACTACTGAGATTTTGGCTTGTTTTGAGGCTTGGGTTTAAGTTTTGATCCCTGTATTGGGTTTTACACAGTTGGGCCCGGGAATTAAAAGGCTCCTGGGGGTTTATAATGACTTCCATTTTAGTTTTGTGTGGGTTGTAGTGAGGTCCTTCAACCTAAAAAAAAGTTTTTAAGTTTGCATTCTCAGATCTAGGTGTATATGTATGCCCGTGTGATTTTTGGAGGATCCGTATTTATATTATTTAGATTACTATCATTATCACCGGGATTTCACCCAAGTCCCTGTTGCTTTTAAAAACAGATATTTTTGGTATTTTATGTGCCTACTGGCTAATAGGCTTGTTATTTCACAGGGGTAACTGCTCTCTTTCCACGCTGTGCCTGGTTGATGTTGTCCGAAGATGTTATGTCTCGGAACCCTTTTCGCAACCGCAATGAAGCCGCCAGTTCATTGCAAAGGCGCAGAGACAACGGCGGGGGTATGGCGCAGTATGATGTTTCTCAATACGGCTTGTTAGTATATTCTGGTAAATTTCTAATTATAGACAATGAACTCTTGTTTCCCGTGTGACTTGTAAAGACTTGCTCATCTGCCGAGCTAACTATAGCAGGCTCTAACTTTTGTATTAGCAACCTGGTAAGCTTGCAAAGCAAGTCTGAGCAAACAGCTGGCAAAATCCCAAATAAAGATACCTGACCCATGTTAATATTTTGATATACTCGCTTCCATAGCTGTTATTTATATTTTGTGCTTCTAATTACATTACACATAACATATCCCAGATAAGGGAAAGACTGTATCAGGGTGCCAAAGTAGCTGGTACTATGTGAACTATATTTATTTATAAAAAGAATTTCCAATGCAAGTTCAACTTTATAAAAAATATTATTTGTTACTTTATGCTGCCTACTGCCTAAAATTAGGCTTGTAAATTTTTTCTACGAGGGAAATTCCATTTCCGCGTGTTTATTTGACTTTTTCCGACAGAAAGTCAGCATCCCTTTAACTGCAACCAAGCCTCCGTTGCCATGGGTACGCGAGGCAGCAGAGAGAAAGGGGCACGAGTGTCAAGGCTAGATAGGTGCTAGCTCTCAAAAGTTTACTCAACGACGAAGTTGCTTTAGTATACATTTTATAAATGTCACTATTTAGGGACAATTGTAACTTTCTTGTTTCCCTGTGTGACTATAGCTAAAACGACTTGCTCAGCTGCCGAGTTGACTAGCTAGCTAGGCTACAACTAACTACCTTAGCTAGCCTGAGCTAAGCATTGAAATGGCAAGTCTGAGCAAATCCACTGCTGGCAAAACTCCCAAAAAGGAGGCGAGACCCCGGACCCCGCCAGGTATGTAGAATATAGCTCGCTAACATAGCTGTTATACTATTAGCTAGATAACTAATCACACACACACCTAACATTATCCTCCTGATATGGGTGAGAAGAATGTAGCAGGGCAGGTAGATGGTTATGACTCAGGTCGTTGGAACTATCCCCCATGTCGTTGCTGTAAATAAGAATTTGTTCTCAAGTCAACTTACCTGGTAAAATAAGGGATACATAAAAAATAAAAGAGAGAGAGAGGAAGAAGAGAGATAGGAAGAAGACCACCAAGGACACAGTGACATCTAATTTCCTGTATTTACTTTGTGAAAGAGACATTGGAGGCATAGGTGTGTATTTGTTTACGTGGGGCTCTGGTGTTGTGTGTGTGTGTGCATACAGTGGCTTGCAAAAGTATTCACCCCCCTTGGCATTTTTCCTATTTTGTTGCCTTACAACCTGGAATTAAAATAGATTTTTGGGGGGTTTGTATCATTTGATTTACACAACATGCCTACCACTTTGAAGATGCAAAATAAATAAAAAAATGAAACAAACAAGAAATA